CTAGGTTGTCTGCTAGGGTGGCTCTGTCTCCACTTCCCTGAGGTAACCCTCTTTCTGTCCTCCTTGCTTAGGGGATCGGTTGCTACATGTTCCGCATTGATGACTCTGAAGTGGTGGATGCCACCATGCACGGGAACGCGGCCCGCTTCATCAATCACTCCTGTGAGCCCAACTGCTACTCCCGGGTCATCAACATCGATGGCCAGAAACACATCGTCATCTTCGCCATGCGCAAAATCTACAGGGGGGAAGAGCTCACGTACGACTACAAGTTCCCCATTGAAGACGCCAGCAACAAACTGCCCTGCAACTGCGGCGCCAAGAAGTGCAGGAAGTTTTTAAACTAGGACTTCCATCAGCTGCAAGTGAGCCCTGAAGGGCCTGGGGCGAACCAAAGCTTCACGTGAATCCCTCCCTGGCCATTCAGACGGGACGGGGAGGCCGGAGGCAGGAACAAAGATCAGCTGGGCTCAGGGACCTGACTGGCGGCTGTGTTTCTCTGTCAAGAGTCCACATCTTCATGTCTCGCATGCGCACACTTACCCTTGTGAAAGACACGGGTGACCGGAGAAGATCCTCAGCGTGATTATGTTTTTGCTATTCTCATTTCCCCCTGCCCCCGGTATTTGTTTCTCAGCGTGGGCCTAATGAGTGGGAGAGGGGAGGGGAGGTTGGCTCAGGCCCAAGCGCAGGGGAGCGATCATGGGTCCTGTCCCTCTATCCCTCTCCGTCCCTTGGCTCAGAGTGGTGAACGCGGAGTTCTCCTCCTCCGCCTCGTTCAAGGGCTGGGTCAGAAGTTTGGTAGCATGGTGTTTGAGTGAGCTTACCCCCCAGGGAGAGAGACTGCACCCCGCCAACCAGCTACCCTGAGGACTGTGCGCATGTCTGTGGTTCCTTGTGCTCTGCGTCCCCAAAACACTATTGGTGAGCCAGCTGGCGTCCTGCACAGCACGGGGGCAGCTGGTGAAGCTGGTGCGTTGCACGGGTCTGACTCGGCTGGTTTCATCTGGGAAGGGCGAACTGGGGGGAGTGGAACAGAGCAGCCTGCGACTAGACTGAAGAGGGTTTGGCTAGCGCTTGGCTCCAAAATGCCTGCCTGAGCCCAGGGGAATTCCGGGCATTCATTGGTGGAGAGGGGGCTTGTGCCAACAGTTAATGGCGCTGTCAATCTTTGTGAGCGAAGGCTTCCTTTCAACAGTGCCCTCCGTCTCTGGCTCTGTCAGAGGGAAGTGGTCTTTTCCCCAGTCCTGTCTCCAGCAGCTGGCTTCCTCCTCTGCCCAGCAAGGTGAAGTTGCTTCCAGCCAGCGGCCTCTCTGCCACCATGGAGCTTGTCCAAGGGACAGACATCTCTAGGGAGAGATGGGGAGTGTGAGCTAGCTCTGGGGTTGGCCACGTACCTCTGTAGAGCAGGAGCTAGGGAGGACTTGCGTGGAGGCTCCCACAGGATTCACTCTGCTGGGCCTCGCTGCAGTGTCCTAGGGCTGGGTGGGGAGACAAAGGAGCGATCCTGTAGGCAGGCACCTGTCGTGCTGCGTCTTCCGGGTGTAGTCACGTCATCTTCCCGAAAGGCAGGGGAAGAGGCACCAAAACAGTGCGTAAGTTCTCCGCAAAGGCAAGGCCAAACGCTAACCAGCCTTGTCTGTGCCACGCAGCATCCAGAAGCGCACAGGGAATAAATGAGTGATTGGCATGGTGGAAATTGCTGTAGCTGAGGAACCAAGCTTGTTTCAAGCCAATCAAAAGATGCTGTTGTCCTGGTTAAAGCAGCGTCAGTCCTCCTCCCGTCTGGGTCCGCTCTGCGCCTCCAAAACAAAACACAGAGAAAGACGTAAAAAGCCCCAAGCCTAACAAACGATGACATTGGATTTTACTCTGTTCTGTTTACAGTTTAGTATTTAAGGTTTTATAAATGTAAATATATTTTGTATATTTTTCTATGAGAAGCACTTCATAGGGGAAAGCACTTATGACGAGGCTTTTTAAACAGTGGTATTATCCTAATTTAAGAGAATCTCTTTTTAATGATTTTTTTTATTTTCATAGGACGGTTATAGGAAATACATGGCTGGACATAGTCTGATCCTTTCTCCAGAGTGTGGGGGGGTACACATTATTTTTATTTTTTACTCTTGTTCTGCCTTTTTGACTTCAGTAACTGTTTCCAGGAGGTTTGGCTGGACCTTAAACTGTATTTCCCCGTCAAGATGGGGGCGGGAGGGAGAACTGCCCAGCTTAGCAGGAGTTTGACTCTGTCTGAACGACTGTCCGTGCACCCAGGCAGGAGGCCCAATGCTGCCTGGCCCCACGCCGGCATCCTCTGTGTATTTTAGAAGGAAAAATGAGATAAAAAGAGAGAGACATGACCCTCAATACCTCTTCTGCTGGGGGACTGGTCCAGGCCACATGCCTTGTCCTGCAGTCTCTCTCTTGAAGGCAAAGGAGTCTTTCCATGGAGAAGGGAACACAGGAAGTGCCCTTGCTTTTCCAAGCTGTCCCTGCAGGTAGATCAGCGGCCATTCCGGGAGCCGGCAGGTTGGACGGCTGCTCTGAATTGGCTTCGGCAGTCAGTGGGAAAGGGATGGGAGCCGCCTACTGACTCCCCAGTGCTTGCAGTGGGGCGCCCTGAATCCGCGCCCTTCGGGCCCAAGACCTCTTCCTCTGACCTGAGAACGAAACACGGCGCTGGGAAGGTCGAGAACTGCCGGTTTCCTTTCGTTATTGCACTGTGTGATGATTATTTGGTGATAACTGTTGAAAGAAAAGTCAAATTGACGCTGCATTTGTTACTGAGATGATTTGATGCACTGACAGTTTGGTGGGAACGCACATACCTTGAGGACGCCAAAGAGCCTGTGCCCGGGGGACCTCAGCCCTGTGTCCCCGAGCACAGCCGCTCTCGGTCCTTGTCCTTTCCTGTTTCTGATGGCAGTGCTGGGGGCCAGCCCTCGCCTTGGCGAAGCCCATGAATTTGTCGGAGTAGCTCAGCTCCGCTGCATTTCCTCTTGCCCGCGCTGCAGCTGCATCCCAATGACGGGGAGGAGGAGCGTCTTCCCCAGCAAGCAGATCAGTTCCCTCTGCCTGGCTGCGTGCAGGAGGCGGCTGTGGCTGGGAAACGCTGCCCAAAGCCACCTGGCGTAGGGAAAAGCAGAGAAGGGTTGGGGGCAAGTGGCATGCCACAGGAGCCCCCTGAGAACCAAGCGCCCGGCATCTCTCCTCCTGTGAGGGCCGGTCGAGCCCACGGGTCCGGCTGGCTGTCTGCTTTGCTGCTATACCCGTCGCGGCTGCCTCAGCGGGAGCCGCTGTGGCCAGTGAAACTGTCTGTACCCCTGGGAAGCTGTGCTGCGCCTCGCAGTGAGCCTGGGCCCTTCGGGACGAGTGGCAGCAGCGGCGGTGGGGAGAGTGCGTGGGCTCACTGCCATCCGCCCCCCGACCCTGTCCCGCCCGGGCTGGTGGCGAGCACGGCACAGCTTCCCCATGTATGAATGTATATTTTATAAGGACTGACGCAGATCACGGTATCTGGAAATACTGAAAAAAAAAAAAAAAAAAAAAGGAACCTTAGGGCGTTTATTTTTCTTCGTACAAACCAACATGGGTTTTGTGTTGTTTTTTTTAAAGGAAAAGCGGGTCATTGCAAAGGGCTGGGTATCTTTTCTTTCTGGTTTTCTTTCATTTCAAAGCAATACCAGGTTCTTCAGCGAGACGGTCTTTGTGCAGAATCATGCCATTCAAACCCATACTACTGGTCCACTCGCGACACTCGCAAGTTTTTTTTATAACTATAAATACGATATATATAGGAACTAATATAGTAATGCACCGTGTAACGAAGCCTAGTTCAGTATCGGTCCATGGCTTTTAATTCTCTTAACACTATAGATAAGGATTGTGTTACAGTTGCTAACGACGGCCGGGAAAGCCACACCGGGTGTTCCCCACCAGGCGGCAGCTCCCAGGGCGAGGGCTGCCGGACCGGGGAGCCGGGAGCAGGCGGCTCGGCCTTTCCCAGCCCTTCTTGTTACCAGTCAGTACTTGTACAACTTGGTTTCTTCTTTTTCTTCCTCTTGTTTTGGTTATGAATGTTGGGGTACCACCTGCATATAGGGAAAAAAAATGTGCTCTGTGCTTTCCTGGTATCTTTTTAACGAGGTACAGTAGCTTTGTCTATCAACCGAGAACTATACTTGTGGTGTTTCTTTTATTGAACTTAACAGTCTCTTTAGTAAATACAGGTAGGTGAATAATTGTTTCAAAAAAAAAAAAAAAAGGCAAAAAAAAAAAGCTCTGCAAAGGCAAGGTTATGTTCTAGAAATACATTTCTTGACAACTTATCATGTATAACAAATCTCTTCTGTTTTTTTTTTTTTTTTTGTGTTCTTCCAAGCTTCTGGTTTTTTTTTTTTTTTTTTTTTAAAAAAAAAAAAAAAAGAGGAAACGTGTCTAAAGTACATCAGTGTTAACTCCCTGTCACAGGGAAGAAGGAAATACTTTAATAGTTTAAAAAAAATGCTGAAAGCTCTGCAAAAGACTGAATGTAAAAATAAAAATGTGTACATAGTTGTAAAAAAACAAAAAAAGGAGTTTTTAAACATGTTTATTTTCTATGCACTTTTTTTTATTTAAGTGATAGTTTAATTAATAAACATGTCAAGTTTATTGCTGCAGAGGGTTGCTCTCGATTTCTTCTTGAGGGGTGAGAAGCCACTTCCCCTGTGTCGCTGATGCTCCTCCTGGAAACTACCGCGGACGGTGCCAGCGGTGGGTTTTCAGCAGAAAGGTGCTTGGCTCCGGCTCACCACTGCCGGCATGTGCAGGTCACTGTGGGAAGCTGCGGGTCTTCCAGCTGGGCCGCTGCCTTCAGTAAGTGGCCAGGCGGCGGGACCTCACGCCAGGGCTGGGATAGGATGGGGAAGGGTGACGCGGTGCCAGTGGTGTGAACATTAACCTGCTGGAGGCAGCCCGCCGGCGCCCAGATGCGGGGTCTCGGTACAGAGGGCACCATGGCCACGGCAAATGACAGGGCTGTCCTGCAGACCATCTTTAACCCCAGCACCCCTTTTGGGGATATCCCTGGGCTGGACGACGAGGAGGAGGAGGAGGCCCAGGAGGAAGGTGAGGTGAGGTGGCTCTGCCAGCTGGGAGCAGCCCCTGCCCGAGGCCAGACCCTGCACGCTGGGACGGGGGCTGCGGGATGGGCAGCGGGGCTGCGCCCCCTGGGCTGTCCTGGTGCTGGCCACTTCCCCGGCCAAGGCCTCCCCTTCACGCCGCCACAGGGGAAGCCTTCGCACCGGAGCTGCTGGAGCAGGTCCGGGACCTGGAGCTGCAGGGCGTCTCTGCCGCCGAGTCAGGAGATGTGAGCACGGCCCTGGAGCGGTTCAGCGAGGCCATACGCCTGCTGCCCGAGCGCGCCTCGGGCTACAACAACCGGGCCCAGGCCCTGCGGCTGCGGGGGGATGTGGCAGGGGGGCAGAGGGCCGCTGCGGCCAAGGTGCGGGGGGGCCCCCCC